ATTTTTTTGTGGTATTCGTTCTTTAAATAATAATTAATTGAGGATTTGGAGTGAAGACAAGAAATAAAGAAAAATGTTGAATATTTATTCAATAGAAATTTTGGTTGATCCTTTTCGGGTGTTTTCATAAGATCAGGACATTAAATTTTTATCAAGTTAAAACTTTCTTATGTTATACTATGAAGTTATGAAATGCTTGGTTAATTAAGTTTTTTTTTTTTTTTTTTGGATAGTTTGGATTATTAGATTTGCACCATGGATAAAGTCATATCCCTTCCTTTAATCAAATGCCCTCTGTTATCCTCAAAAATAAACTTCATTAAGATATCAAAAGGACAGGAAAATAAAATAGTCCAAGGTTTACATATATTCATCCATTAATTTTTTTCATTTTCCTTATCAACCAAACACACATTAATAAAACACAAAAAGAACAACAACAAAACGGAAATGATATCAGATGTCAGAAATTCTTTATGGATGCTTAATTTTATTATGTTTACAAATGGGGTTCTGGAGCTGATCTCAAGCTCAAGCTCAAGCTCAAGCTAATTCTATTTCCTTTCTGGCACTTTGTAGATAGAAACAGTTTTCTTGGATTAATGTCGAGTTGCTCATATTCTAATATGCTTATTTAGACAATGAACCTAATATCAATTATATTTAAACAAAAACTTTTACTTAAGCAATGGTAAACAAGTCAATTTAAAATATCATATTGGGCCAAAATGGTTCTGTTAGCTCTGTGAACGTGTCACACTCTAAAATGTAGATATAGTTATATTAGATGCTCTGATGCTTGACATTTTGCTTACAGTAAATTCATATGTTATCTGATATCCTTTCCGTTTTGTTGTTGTTCTTTTTGTGTTTTATTAATGTGTGTTTGGTTGATAAGGAAAATGAAAAAACATTAATGGATGAATATATGTAAACCTTGGACTATTTTATTTTCATGTCCTTTTGATATCTTAATGAAGTTTACTTTTGAGGATAACAGAGGGCATTTGATTAAAGGAAGGGATATGATTTTATCCATGGTTTTGGTGTTGTAATGCAATGTGCAGAAGAACAGTGGCTATAGTAATGGGAAGCGGAGGATAAATAGTTGAACAAATATGGCACAGCGGGAAGAGGTTATTAGGAGGACTGTGTATGTATCAGATATTGATCATCAGGTAAAGAGACTTTGGAGTTGTTGGTACTCTTGGGAATTTACTTAACATGCACAACGGAAATAAAATAATTTTCAATTTCCAAACGAGGATCTGCAATGTGTTTAGATAGAAACTGTGATGAGAATGATACATTTGATGAATTCCACAAACTCTTTTGCTTTAACTTCAACTCCAATGATCACGATCTGCAAACCACGCTGTCCAATAGTCCAGCCTCCAATGGTGCTCCC